TTACCCTGACGAATGGCACTATAACTTCGCCATATGTCCTTTATATTTACACATTGTTTAATTGATACATTTCAGATCTTGTTTTGGTTTTGTCTTTTAGTTTGTTGATGAAAGGGGGTTTCGGGAGATAGGAAGGGTAATATCTATATAGAATGAGTAGATCTAGTTTCCATCTGACGAATATAAGACGTTTTTGCTTTGTATTTATTATAATACAAAATATGTTGAATTGTAGTGAATAAGTACTTTGTAAGGAAAGGTAGCAAATGTTTCCGATTGCCAATGTTTATTATGTGTGCATTGCGTGTGTTAAATATTCTATTTGTTAATGAAATCAACAGCAAATATATCGAGACTACACTACTTAGTAGGGTTCTGCGTAATGACAAGGGTATACTCACTTTTTAAAGATCACGATAAAAATACTACTTCTGAGACCTTACGCTTAAAAGACAAATGTTTTTTTTTTTCATTTTTTATCCAATCTATTCACTCGATGCTTGTGTTTTTTAAGGATTGGAAGGGGTAGGTCTATTGGTCAATTGACTTATAAAACATGTTGCTGCTGCAATGTAATGTTTAACATACATGTGTTTCTTATAATACATAATAGTGTTGAATTTAAGCGAATCTGTACTTTATATGTGCATTTGTACTAAATCAAGTTATTTCTCTGTTCGTTATTTGAGTATTAAGGGTGCTTAATATTTATACCCCCGCTTTAGCAAACATGTGACAAAGTGGGGGTATACTGTTTTACCTCTGTCTGTCCATCCGTCCATCCATCCATCCATCCGTCAGTCCGTCCCATGAATATATTTCGTCGCATCTTTCTCAGGAAGTACATTACAAGGAATTCTGAAATTTGGTTTCAAGGTTTATATAAGTCAGCTATACCGTGTGATGCGTTTTCAGATTCATCACCCAACAACTTCCCGTTTACCGAACACTTAAATCATCTTACACATGACATCCAAGTTGAAAATGTTTTTCTTATTTCTGTTCTTTTTTCTGTTCATTTCTAGAATGAAAAGAGGTTTAACGGTAGTTTTTTTAACTAATTAATTTGTTAAAAATGAGTGTACTATAATAGAAAAAATAACCTTTTTTATGATATGTTCAGCAATCTTTAAAAGTTTCTTACATTTGTTTATTCAACGAGTGGGTTTACACGTAGATATGATTTTTCCTATAATATCTACTATATGTTTGGTAATTGTGACCAGGAAATCTAAATATCGAACTTGCTTCAAGCCGCCGGTCGCTAATTGAATAAAGGAATAATGAACATACCATCATTGTCATATTCCCGAATATGACAGTTTTACCGAGTGTGAATTAGCATTGCTATATGACGTGTCTCGGTATTTTGTACATCAAACATTCATGTATTTTTTTTATGTTTCTGTTATGGTTTCGGTTGGATAATATGTTATGTCTTACCGTTTGTAGTCCAAATAATTATAAAATTGCCTTTCAATACCATCATTGCTGTGAAAATTGTTTGGACTGGTATTGTGATAATAATTGTATAAAGTTCGAGATTGCATGTTCGTTACGTAAGTGCGTCACTTTTTGTGATATCCTGTATTGTCTGTCGTTGATGGAAGATGTTCGTTGTTGTTCTGCGGTTTGCATGTTGTATCGACTATTATATTATTTGTGTGTGCGTTTCTCTGTGATGAGTGATCTTGCGTATGTTTGTGCTGTATTTCTGTCACGTAGTGTTGTCATTTTAGCGATATTTTTTAATATTTTCATATAAGCGGGAGGTTTGGCAAGCCATAAAACCAGGTTCAACCCACCATTTTTTCTAAAAATGTCCTGTACCAAGTCAGGAATATCGCAGTTGTTATCAAATAGTTCGTTTCTATGTATGTTGGCGTTTGTTTTTGTTGCACTTCAGTGTTCCTGTTGTTCTTTTGTTTTCCTCTTATAGTTGTTGTGTTTCCCTCGGATTTAGCTCGTAACCCGGATTTGTTTTCTCTCAATCGATTTATGACTTTTGAACACCGGTATACTACAGTTGCCTTTATTTAAATGATAATATAGTCCTGATTCGGGTATTTAAATCTGACACTTTACGCAAAGATATATATAACACATAGGTTAATAGAGTTCAGTTCATGAATAGGGTATATTTAATGTATTTCAAAATTACGTTTACAATATTTACCCTGACGAATGGCACTATAACTTCGCCATATGTCCTTTATATTTACACATTGTTTAATTGATACATTTCAGATGATGTTTTGGTTTTGTCTTTTAGTTTGTTGATAAAAGGGGGATTCGGGAGACAGGAAGGGTAATATCTATATAGAATGAGTAGATCTAGTTTCCATGTGACGAATATAAGACGTTTTTGCTTTGTATTTATTATAACATGTATAATACAAAATATGTTGAATTGTAGTGAATAAATACTTTGTAAGGAAAGAAGTGCAAATGTTTCCGATTGCCAATGTTTATTATGTGTGCATTGCGTGTGTTAAATATTCTATTTGTTGATGAAATCAACAGCAAATATATCGATACTACACTACTTAGTAGGGTTCTGCGTAATGACAAGGGTATAATCACTTTTTAAAGATCACGATAAAAATACTACTTCTGAGACCTTACGCTTAATTGACAAATGTTTTTTTTATCCAATCTATTCACTCGATGCTTTTGTTTTTTTAAGGAGTGGAAGGGGTAGGTCTATTGGTCAATTGACGTATAAAACATGTTGCTGCTGCAATGTAATGTTCAACATACATGTGTTTCTTATAATACATAATAGTGTTGAATTTACGCGAATCTGTACTTTATATGTGCATTTGTACGTTTTCAAGTTACTTCTCTGTTCGTTATTCGAGTATTAAGGGTGCTTTATATTTATACCCCCGCTTAAAAAAAGTGGGGTATACTGTTTTACTTCAGTCTGTCTATCCGTCCGTCCGTCCGTCGATCCGTACGTCCCATGAATTATTTTTGTCGCATCTTTCTCAGGAACTACACATTACAAGGATTTCTGAGATTTGATTTCAGGTTTTATATAAGTCAGCTATACCGTGTGATGAGTTTTCAGATTCATAACTCAACAACTTCCTGTTTAGCGTCAAGTATTTGGGCGGGGGTATCATCAGTGATCAGTAGCTCACAGTTCACTCGTTTGATCTCTTTATGAATGGGCAGCATAGATATCGTTACAGACAAATAAATTGTGCTAAAAGTCATGAACAAGTATTTTTATTGTATAATAAAATTATGATAGAAATATTAATTGCGGACGACTAAAACTTTGCCCTCAAATATCTGTTAATCATTTAAATCTGTCGAGCCGAAGCTTTTCAGAATTTGTTGTTCTGATTATTTCTATTTTGCTTTTAAATTTGTATACTTAATAATAGCAAAATCAGAAGAACATTTACGTATTTTTTGGCAATGTTCATTATTTTTTAGAGTGCTATATATTTGACCTGTTTGTGAATCGCTAACATTATTCTATTACTTTATTGATCAATTCGACCAAAAACATAGTACAATGTACGACGCGATGTGCATGTTATTGTATCAGTGATATTAATAATATTTATACAACTAACAGAATACGTTTTTACTTAAAAGTACAAACAAGTCTGAAATAAGTTTTGGATATTTTTGTATATAACATTCTACAAAAGAATAGATCGTGTTGAATAAATTACTGTCTGACATTAATTGATTAGTGTCGCCTAAGGGTATAGACAGGTTTTTTGGTTATCTTTATGATAATAGTATAATATCCTATGATACATTATCATTTAGATAATGTATCATAGGATATTGTGATCATGTGGAGCAGGATCTGCTTACCCTTTCGGAGCACCTGAGATCACCCCCAGTTTTTGGTGGGGTTCGTGTTGCTTAGTCTTTAGTTTTCTATGTTGTGTCTTCTGTACTATTATTTGTCTGTTTGTCTTTTCATTTTTGGCCATGGCATTGTCAGTTTGTTTTCGATCTATGAGTTTGACTGTCCCTCTGGTATCTTTCGTCCCTCTTTTATATGATACAGGGAATTTATTTATATTTAGATTACGAATTTAAGGGGAAGTACGAAAGCCATAGATAAAGCTATAAAGCAAATAAGGATAAAAATATATCCCTGAAAAGCGTGTCATTTTCCGTTGTTTATAGAGTTACATGTATCATTTGTGTACGAGCACTTTTCCTGCACTTTGACGGTAAAAGTTAAAAAGAACAATGAAGAGACAAAAATAATTATTTCATATGAATAAATTCATGTTACTAAAATAGATGTGTTGTAAACATCAATGAGAAAGTTACCCATAAAAAATAGCATAAAAACGTTTTGGGACCAATAGTCATGAATATATAAACATATAATGAATTCAATCCATGTACGGGAAAATCACTAACTTCTAAAATAATGTACCAGGTATGATTATAATAATTACCCAGTAACTACAAAAAGCAATAATAACAAATAAAAAAAAATCACCAGCCTAGAGGTCACCACTATCATAACTACATAAAATATCTTGAATATGTGTACATAATGAATGTTGAAATATTTCAAACGCCAAAGGTTTTAAACCCAATGTGAAGATTGCCCAAGCTGTATTTGGCACAACTTTAGTGGAATTTTGGGTTCTTCATGCACTTAAACTTCATAATATTTAATTTGCTGTTGCAAATGTTTTGCTTCAGGCACACTGAGGAGTCTTGTATAGACTAAAAGCGCGTCTGTCGTACACAATTATAAGCCTGGTATCTTTGATGAGTTTTATTTTTCATGCACAATCCGCAATACGAGTCCATACACATATCCATGTATCCATACATATACATGGAGAATCGCAAACAATGAAACATGTTTCATGTGATTCGTTTGATTTTTATTAACAATAAAAGTATCATATATTATGTAGTTAAGAAATTTCTTGTATTTGATCTAAAAAAAAACGTCCAAACATCTTTGTATGAGAAAAAAAGGTTTTTATCTTGATGATGAATTGCAATCAAACCATGGCCAATTTGTGTTCCTAAATACATACATACAGCAGTCATGAAAATTCCTTTACACATTATATCATTTATAATTCGTGTAAAAAGAAATTGTAGCTCTAGATATTTTTAATCAAATCTCAATCAGTGATGTTGTAGTGCCCTGTATTTACAATTATTTAGTATAATTGCTGTTTACATCCTGACCTGTATTATTGTGTTTATAAAACAATGATATTCAGTAGCTTATAGAAAAAAATTGAAAAATTAAACAATTAATGATAAAAACTAAGAGAACATTTATATGATCGAAAGTGCCGAAAATTTGTGATGTGATTACGATAGACCAAATTTTACCAAATTTTAACGTGTATTGTTTACACCATCATATAGTTAAACATGATCTTCCAAACATGCATGTGTTACAAGGTATGTGAGAAAAACAGTTATGATACATGATATGCGATACGTGGCATACGATACAGACCTTGTGATGTAGGTTTTATTTAACATTTATTTAAGATATTCTAAACAGCTCTTACTGAATTCATATTTCATTTTTTATTCTATTTAACACAGATTGCAAGAACATGAATTGATCCAACAAAATTGACCGTTTTTTCTTAACAATGGCAGAAGGTTAGTTTTTCTTTATCTGTTATTTAAAAAAATTCTCAAACGAACTTTTACAGTTTTTTTGAAAAACAAAAAGTGCCACACGCTTCTGAGATTATCAGTTTTAGAGTTATGAAATGGTTACGGCAAAACTTCTTTATTCGACTTTCTGTTTGCTGTTTATACAAAATCGGTATATTCGAGTAAACATTATATCCTCTACTTTTGTCTGATATTATTTTACGCAATATTTATTTTACATTCAAATAAATATTTTGATTTAGCATATATTTTAAATCAAGAAAAAAGCATGGTCTACAATTCGATAAATTTGAATCACCAAGAGAAGTTGCCATGAAGAAACGCATTATCTGTTCCTTTCAATTTAAAGAAACACGTTCGATACAATCAGCAAAATATCTGTCCTCTTCATGCGCTTTATGTCTCCTTACACAATTTGCATATATCTTGTTTTCAAGTTCATAATTATTGCATGATTCAGTTTTTGAGTGATATCACAAAATTTTTTTTCCAAGACATTAGAATCTTGATGTTTTTTCGTTCTCTGCAGAAACTAGCGCAAATGAGCTTCTTCTACGATGTGAACACTTATACATATTTCTACACATATGATAGTCATGTAATTGGCAGCTCCATGAGCTTACATAAAAACTGCTGATATTTAATATCATCATTATATCTAATTAGTTGCAAATAAAATCTAAATAGGAATTGAAATAGTTGTAACCAAAAGAAACGAGAATCAGTATGAATCACTTCTTTTCAATGAGAAATAAACAACTGGTAATGCCTTATCAATTACTTGTTTATAAAACAATTTCACAAAGCTAATTATTCACGAATGCACGGTCCCTAAGGTACACATACACAATAGCAATACTGTATATTACCTATCTTCCATGTTAGGTTTAATACATGTATTTAAACAATGAAATATATATACTTTTTGAATGTTGTAATATATGTACGACAAACTCGCACACTTAATTTCATTTTATTTCAGACGAAAAACCACACGTACAGTTGAATATAGGCGATGTAGAATGTTTACAGATAAAAACATGTATATGTGAAAGGGAAACTAAATCAAAATGTATGATATCAATAGATATTTTTTTCTGTTGTTAAATATATCTCTTTTCAATTCACCACTTCCAAATGACATGCTATTATCTAAAGACGTAGATCTTAGTTAAGGGACGCTTTAAACACCATTTGTGCATCTACATTCTACGTTTGTGTCAACAATTATCATTAATTTCTAACCTTCAAGTAGCACAGAATTATTTAATCATGTGTCACTTGAATGGTTTAAAAACATTGATGAATCTATCACAAAGGTCTGTCTGATTGTAAGACGATACTCCCTGAAATATTGCATTCACTGATAAAACTAGGAAATATCTAAGTAGAATTTGAATTTAGATTATACATTATAGAAGGTAGATTCATTTATTTAACATACTGTATTGCAATGAATTTGTCCGTCTGTTCGTTCGTCCGTTCGTTTAACACATATTTTCATCACAGTTTGCATAATAACCTCTCGATTTCATATTTTGACAGCGACTTGACAATGACAAAACGCTTTTTTTGGGTTCTATCAGATAACAATTTTTTTTTACCGATCTTTCGAATTTAACAATGTGTTAAATGAACTTTATTTTTTTCCCTCACACATTTCAGCAATACTTCTGATGAGAATGATTGAATATTTAGTCACCAGCCCAAGAGTAATAACTTGTAACATGGATGCGGTTCTTAAGTATCTCAAACGACTACTCCTTGTTTATATACTTTATACCTTTATAACGAGTGGGGGTACATCTAAGCAAGACCACGCTTGCATTCTTGCTATTGTTTTTTTTTTCAGTGTTCATGGTTTTAAGGAAAACTGTTATTTCTTGCATAATTGATTTCTTGTTTTAACTTGTTTTATATACAAACCAATAGATACTTTGTATTAATGTAAACACTTGAACTTGAGTTTAAACTATACTAACAAAATCAACGATTATCGCTACAGCATGATTTTTACAGTTATTTTTGAAAATTTAATCTTTTTCATTACTTAACAGTTATCGGCGATTTGTTTAAAAAAACATAAGTATGACTCTTTATCTATAATACAGATACATCCCATTTGAACATAAAAAGAAACATCTATATTCTAATCATTAAGCTAAGATGCTTGTATGAAGAATGAAAAGAAACAAAATTCTTTGCGTTCTAATTGTTTTCTAGATAGTTTATAAATGCTGCTCGATTCAAAATTGAAAGTATATGTATTTTGAAGAATGTTTACATTTTATTTATTTTTAAAAGGCCAAATCGTCCCTTTTTAGCTCACCTGGCCCAAAGGGCCAAGTGAGCTTTTCTCATCACTTGGCGTCCGTCGTCCGTCGTCGTCCGTCGTCGTTAACTTTTACAAAAATCTTCTCCTCTGAAACTACTGGGCCAAATTTGACCAAACTAGGCCACAATCATCATTGGGGTATCTAGTTTAAAAAATGTGTCCGGTGACCCGGCTAACCAACCAAGATGGCCGCTATGGCTAAAAATAGAACATAGGGGTAAAATGTAGATTTTGGCTTATATCTCTGAAACCAAAGCATTTAGAGCAAATCTGACAGGGATAAAATTGTTTATCAGGTCAAGATCTATCTGCCCTGAAATTTTCAGATAAATCGGACAACCCGTTGTTGGGTTGCTGCCCCTGAATTGGTAATTTTAAGGAAATTTTGCCGTTTTTGGTTATTATCTTGAATATTATTATAGATAGAGATAAACTGTAAAGCAATAATGTTCAGCAAAGTAAGATCTACAAATAATTCAACTTGACCAAAATGGTCAGTTGACCCCTTAAGGAGTTATTGCCCTTTATAGTCAATTTTTAACCATTTTTCGTAAATTTTTGTAATTTTTTACAAAAATCTTCTCCTCTGAAACTACTAAGACAAATTTAACCAAACTTGCCCACAATCATCATTAGGGTATCTAGTTTTAAAAATGTGTCCCATGACCCCGCCCGCGAACCAAGATGGCCGACATGGCTAAAAAATAGTACATAGTGTAAAATGCAGTTTTTGGCTCATATCTCTGAAACCAAAGCATTTAGAGCAAATCTGATGAGTATAAAATTGTTCATTAGGTCAAGATCTATCTGCCCTGAAATTTTCAGACCAATCAGGCAACATGTTGTTGGGTTGCTGCCCCTGAATTGGTAATTTTAAGAAAATTTTGCAGCTTTTGGTTATTATTTTGAATATTATTATAGATAGAGATAAACTGTAAACAGCAATAATGTACAGCAAAGTTAGATCTACAAATAAGGCAACATGACCAAAATTGTCAATTGACCCCTTAAGGAGTTATTGCCCTTTATAGTCAATTTTTTACAATTTTCATAAATTTTGTAAATTTTTGTAAATTTTTACAAAGTATTTTCCACTGTAACTATCAGGCCAAGTTCATTATAGATAGAGATAATAGTAAGGAGCAAGAATGTTCAGTAAAGTAAGATCTACAAACACATCACCATCATCAAAACACAATTTTGTCATGAATCCATCTGTGTCCTTTGTTTAATATGCACATAGACCAAGGTGAGCGACACAGCTCTTTAGAGCCTCTAGTTTTAATACCCCCAGAATATTGCTTATCACATGTGTCCTGTTTTAATAGGTTTAGAAGACAAACTTAAAGCAAGGATTGAAGAAGACGACACAATCTTCACAAAAACCAATAGTTATGAAAACGCCAAGGATATTTTAGAGAAGAACAACATTGTTATTATCGTTGGATCAAGCGGAGATGGAAAATCATTCATTGCAAGACGACTTGTTTGGAACAAAATAAAGGATGGGTTAAATTATAGAGAAGTCACGCGTACGCCGGATTGGGATCAAATATCCTATAACGAAAATCATATTGTGTTGATGGAAGACGCTTTTCAGAAAAAGTCATGCTGCAGCAAGCCCAAAGCAGACTCCTATATGTTGATTGCTACACTTCAGGAACACATGGAACATTTTAGAACATCAGAACACATACTGTATGTTGTCATCACAACACGTCCAGATATTTTCAGTGAACTTCAGAAGCTATTTGAAAATAGACCGTTCTTTGATGAGTTTGTAACTGTTGACTTGAATGCTATGGGATTAAAATTTGCAGAAAAGGTTGAAATTTTTCGTAAACATGAGCAGAAATGCAATGGACTAAAATTTGATGACAAATCTGTAACTAAAATTTGTACATTTGACACGCCAAGTTTTCCAAATTGCGTCGAAATGTTTTTCACAAATGCAACGGCTTATAAAAGGGGTCTTGAATTTTTTAGAAATCCTACACAGTTTTTGAATACAGAGATTGTCAAAATTTTTCGAGAAGATAAGGCATTATATACGCTTATGGTTTTGTTGGCAATGAATGATGACAGGCTACTCGAATGCAATTTATTGAAAACCATTGAATCAACAAACAGGGATATTTTGAAGGTGCTATTAGACAGTAATACAGATTGTCCTAAACAAATAAAAGCGATGCTGCTTAAAGTCCTGGCAAAATCACAGTCGTTCATACAGCTACTTAATGGAGTTGTTAAATTTAGATATAAATGCATTTCTCATGCTGTTTGTTCTTCGTTTGGAGAAACGATGCCAGAAGAGGCACTGCTGTATTTGCCGATTGAGTTTATTTTTCAAAAGGTATTTGTTGACGGAAGCAATTATTCAAAAGACGAGGAAGGTATTGTGTTACCAAGAAATTGCTATCTTTATTTAGCAAAACGATTAGTTGTCGAGCTCGAACGCGGATGCATTCAACAGGTTTGCAAACATAATGCCTTTAAGTCCCAATGTTTTTCATGTTATTTTATTACTCTTGTAAAAGAAAACGACAAAAAACAAATTAGATTCATGCTTCAAATAACAGAAAGAAGTCAGAAGAACTGGTCATTATGGAATGGATCTCTTTTATACTGGAGTGCCGCCGTAGGGGAAGAGAACTTATTGCTACGGTTACAGTACTTGCAACCTTAGGCGTTACTGTTTGACGTGAACTTGACTGATCGGTGAATGATTGGTGACGGCTGTTTGACTGATCGATGAATGATCGGTGATCGATGACCCATAGAATCCGTCAGATACGTCAAATAGGCTATGTGAGAGTTACCGTGACAACGGTCATCGATCGATCAGTAAATTAATTGTATGCACTGATCGGACGGATACGTATATAAATAAAATTCTTATGTAAAACGAACTCCACAGTATTTACAGTCGATAAACGCGGACCTCTACGAAGACACCTTTACTCGTTAATTATGTACCACTAAAAAGCGATAAAATGTTATCATTTAAAATAAGTACTCTATTTGTTGTCGTTAAATGATGACAATATATAGTAGAACAGTAAAGATACATACAGCTTTGTTTGGATTAATTAATTTAGAGTGTTGTTTTAATTTTTGTTCTAGATTACCAATATTTCTTCTTCTTATAACATATAATGCAATGTTATTTCTAATTAGTCATTTAAAAGGCCTCAAGAAAAGTTTCTTTGATAGAATTTAAAAAAAAATAAGATATGAATAATTTAAGGATAAATATACATATATACCCTTTTGTTTTTATTAAATAAGAAATCAATAATTTCTCTTTTTTAATGGAAATTATTGAACGCCTATGGTTTTTTGTACTTTTTATGGTTAAGGATTGGTTGTTTTTTATAAAATCATAATAATATCTGAGAAAATATACTAAAATGTTGTTTGCATTGTTTTGATAGAAATTATGAACCGTCATTTGATTTCGGTACATTTTGTACATCATGATTGGTTGTTTTTCATAAAATATGTTGAATTTCAAGGAAAAGATACTAAATTTTTTTTCGCTTTGGTTAAAAATGCAAATATTTCTTCTTTTATATCAGAAAAATGCAACGTCAATTGCAATCAGTCATTATAGATGCCTTTAGATAAGTAATTTTGTATAAAATGTTAATCATTGAAAGATAAATATGCATAAACATTTGTTTTTGTTAGATAAGAATGCAATAATTTCTTTATTTTGATAGAAATTATGAAATATCATTTGATTTTGGTTCTTTTTGTACATCAGGATTGGTTGTTTCTCATAAAATATTCTGAATTTCAGACAAAAGATACTAAATTTTTGTTTGCATTGCTTAAATATGCACATAATTCTTCTTTTATATCAGAAATAATTCAACGTCAATTGCAATCAGTCATAACTAATGCATTCAGATAGTACTTTTATATAAGATATGAATAATTGAAGGATAAATATGCATAAACTTTTGTTTTTGTTAGATAAGAAAGCAATAATTTCTTAATTTTGATAGAAATTATGAAATATCATTTGATTTTGGTTCTTTTTGTACATCAGGATTGGTTGTTTTTCATAAAATATTCTGAATTTCAGGGAAAAGATACTAAATTTTTGTTCGTGTTGCTTGAAAATGTAAATATGTCTTCTTTTGCATCAGAAATAATTCAACGTCAATTGCAATCAGTCATAATAAATGCATTCAGAAAAGGTTTTTTGTATAAGATATGAATAATTTACTGATAAATATACATAACCTTTTGTTTTTGTTTGATAAAAATTCAAAATTCCTCTATTTCAATTTAAATTATTGACTGCCTATGGCTTTTTGTACTTTTTATGGTTTAGGATTGTTTGTATTTTATAAAATCAAAATAATACCTAAGAAAATATACTAAAATGTTGTTCGCATTGATTAAAATTACCAACTTTTCTTCTTTTGATAAAAAATAATGCAGTGTTATTTGTAACTTGTTATTTCAACGTCCTCCAATAAGATTTTTTTGGTAAAAAATTTGATAATGTAAGGGGAATAATACTTAAACTTTTGTTTTATGTTGAATAGGAATGCAATAATTTCTTTATATTGATTAAAATTATGAACCGTCATTTGATTTCGGTACATTTTGTACATCAGGATTGGTTGTTTTTCATAAAATATGCTGAATTTCAGGGAAAATATACTAAATTTTTGTTTGCATTGCTTAAATATGCAAATATTTCTTCATTTATATCAGAAATAATGCAACTTCAATTGCAATCAGTCATTATAAATGCCTTTAGATAAGTAATTTTGTATAAAATGTGAATCATTGAAGGATAAATATGCATAAACTTTTGTTTTTTTTAGATAAGAATGCAATAATTTCTTTATTTTGATAGAAATTATGAACCATTATTTCATTTTGGTTCTTTTTGTACATCAGGATTGTTTTTTTTTCATAAAATATGCTGAATTTCTGGGAAAAGTTACTAGATTTGTGTTCGCGTTGCTTAAAAATGCAAATATTTCTTCTTTTATATCAGAAATAATTCAACGTCAATTGCAATCAGTCATTAGTAATGCATTCAGATAAGTACTTTTATATAAGATATGAATAATTTAAGGATAAATATACATAAACTTTTGTTTTTGTTAAATAAGAATTCAATTATTTCTCTTTTTTAATGGAAATTATTGAACGCCTATGGCTTTTTGTCCTTTTTATGGTTCAGGATTGGTTGTTTTTTATAAAATCAAAATAATATCTGAGAAAATATACTAAAATGTTGTTTGCATTGTTTAAAATTACCAATTTTTCTTCTTTTGATAAAAATAATGCAATGTTATTTGTAACTAGTTATTTCAAAGTTCTCCAATAAGATTTTTTTTGTAAAAATTTTAATAATGTAAGGAGAATAATACTTAAACTTTTGTTTTGTGTTGAATAAGAATGCAATAATTTCTTTATATTGATAGAAATTATGAACCGTCATTTGATTTCGGTACATTTTGTACATCAGGATTGGTTGTTTTTCATAAAATATGCTGAATTTCAGGGAAAAGATTCTAATTTTTTGTTCGCATTGCTTAAATATGCAAATATTTTCTCTTTTATATAAGAAATAATGCAACTTCAATTGCAATCAGTCATTATAAATGCCTTTAGATAAGTTATTTTGTATAAAATGTGAATCATTGAAGGATAAATATGCATAAACTTTTGTTTTTGTTAGATAAGAATGCAACAATTTCTTTATTTTGATAGAAATTATGAACCGTCATTTGATTTTGGTTCTTTTTGTATATCAGGATTGGTTTTTTTTTCATAAATTATGCTGAATTTCAGGGAAAAGATACTAAATTTGTGTTCGCGTTGCTTAAAAATGCAAATATTTCTTCTTTTATATCAGAAATAATTCAACGTCAATTGCAATCAGTCATAAGTAATGCATTCAGATAAGTACTTTTTATATAAGTTATGAATAATTTAAGGATAAATATACATAAACTTTTGTTTTTTTTAAATAAGAATTCAATAATTTCTCTTTTTTAATGGAAATTATTGAACACTTATGGCTTTTTGTTCTTGTTATGGTTTATGATTGGTTGTATTTCATAAAATATGTTGAATTTAAGGGAAAAGATTCTAAATGTAATTTTCGCATTGCTTAAAAATTCAAATATTTCTTCTTTTGTATCAGAAATAATGCAATGTCAATTGCTATCAGTCATTATAAATGCCTTTATATAAGTATTTTTTAATAAAATGTGAAAAAATGAAGGATACATATGCATAAACTTTTGTTTTTGTTGAACAAGAATGCAATAATTTCTTTATTTGAATGGAAATTATTGACTGTCATTAGATGTTTGTACTTTTCATAGTTTAGTATTGGTTGTTTTTCATAAAAGTAAAAGAAGATCATAGAAAATATCCTTAAATGTTGTTCGCATTGTTTAAAATTACCAATTTCTCTTGTTTTGTTAAAAAATAATGCAATGTTATTTGTACCTAGTTATTTCAAAAGCTTCAAGATTATTTTTTTTATAAGAATTTTAATATTGTAAGTAGAATAAGGCTCAAACTTTTGTTGGTGTTGAAAATGAATGCAATTATGTCTTCATTTTGATAGAAATAATGAATCAACATTTGATATCAGTACTTTTTGTACATCAGGATTGGTTGCATTTCATAAAATATGTTGAATTGAAGGGATCAGATACTAAATTTAATATTCGCATTGCATAAAAATACAAATGTTTCTTCTTTTATATCAGAAATAGTGCAATGCAATTGCTATCAGTCATTATAAATGCCTTTAGATAAGTAATTTTTAATAAAATGTGAATAAAAGAAGGATAGATATGCATAAACTTTTGTTTTTGTTGAAATAGAATGCAATAATTCCTTTATTTGAATGGAAATTATTGACTGTCATTGGATTTTTGTACTTTTTATAGCTTAGGATTGATTATTTTTTATTACGTTAAAAGACTATCAGAACCAATATACTATAATGCTGTTCTCGTTGTTTAAAATTACCAATATTTTTTATTTTTAAGAGTACTTGCAGCATTTTAATTTTTATTTGTGATTTGTTAATTATATTAATTGCCTCGAAATAAGTTTGTTTAAAAAATTTTAAGATTATAAGGATAAAATACTTAAAAATATTTAAATAATACATCGAAATTTGCAATAAATGATCATTTCATTATATTTTCAAGAGCATTTTTCGGAAAATAAAAAAAATCACTGAAAATCGCGATCAACACCGTTTGAGAAATGTCCGGGTTTGAAAAAATATAACCTAAATTAAAACGAAAATGGCCATTCTTTAATAGATATATTCAAATTTAGTTATATATGCATATTTCTTTTCTTTTTAAATTCTTAAAACTGTGCCAAATAATTAATAAAAAAAAGATGTTGATCAATTGTACTTGAATGTTTCGTATTTTCCATGTCGCCATTTTAATTAAATGAAACGAAACTAAGATTTCGTAATTTGTATTAGTTTATCATGTGACGTAGTAGAGTTCAATCCGTCAGAAAGGTCGATCGGTCCTATCCGTCCGATCCGTCCGATCAGTCAAATACTTTTACTATAAGTCTGACGGATTGGTGACGTGAGTTTGACGCGAACTTGACTGATCGGTGACTGATCGATGACCGCTGATTGATCGCTAAAACAGTAACGCCTAAGGT